CCTGCCTGCCTTTTTCAGCCCCAGTGACTCGCAAGGGACCAGGGTTTGTCCCCGCTGTGGTTGCAGTCCCAACTGATCCCTCTGGGGCAGGAGCGAGGGTCAGCGGACACTGGGGTCTGTGGGGCGTCCTTAAGTATGAATGGGAACCGGGGGCGGGGAAGGATAAGGCAGTCGCTGTGGCAGATGCGCCTCTGCTCTGACTCACCTTGACCGGGGAGAGCAGGGAGGGCTGTCTTCGTGCTTAGGACCCTCTCAACGTCCCCTGCTTTCCCCAGATCCCCCTTTTCCTACTTGCCCAGGGATTCAGTCTGTGGCACAGAGTTGGTGGAAACAAGATATCCCATTTTCCCCTTGCAACCTTTCTCCTCTGAGCCTTAGTGTAGGGAGGAGGCACCAGCCTGTGGGCTCGGAAATGTTGTCTTTGATGCCAAACCACCGTAGCAGTGCGTGTGATTTTTTTTTCAGGATGGAAAAGCTGGGGGTCTTTAGGGAGACTATGCCGCCCTTGCCCCTTTCAGCTGGAAAGGCCGGGCACCTTCCTCCTGGCAGAGAGAGAGAGGAGGGCTGGGGGCAGAATCCAAAGACTCCCGGGGGTGACCTGTTGAGCCTTCAAAGGTCAACGGGTCATTTCACCAGAGGGCTCCTTTCCAGCGGGGTGGGGGCGGGCGCCTTCCCCGCTCCCTGGCAGGGTCCTCAGCCCAGAGCGGCCTCCTGCCTTCCAGCCCTGGCCTCATTCTGCTCCTGTTCCCAGACTCCCAGGGCAAGAAGTCTCGACTCATGAAGACGGTGCAGACCATCAAAAGCCAGGGAGGTGGCGGAGGCGTCAGCAGCAACAGCGCCCAGAACAGCACCCTGGGGAGGCCCCCTTTCCCCACTTCCAGCTACGGCACCTACGTGACCCTGGCCCCCAAGGTGCTGGTCTTCCCCATCTTCGTGCAAGTAAGTCTCGGGAGCTGCCGGGCCTTCTTTGCTGGCGAAGGCTCCCTTAGTGAGTCTTGCCCTTTTCCTTCTCTTCTCCCCATGAGCGCAACGGGGTATCTCACTCTAGTCCTCCAGCCGTGTAGGGGTTGCGAACAGAACGGTCCCTCGGCCCACCGCGCGGCCGTCTTTCCGCTTTGAGGACTGTGGGCTTTCCCCCTGCCGGCTCCTTCCAGTGGCCCTCACACCCTCTGCAATCTGGGGGCCATGGTCCTCCTCTCCCCCCCTGCCCCAGAATCTTCTCACTTCCTCCTCCTCTCCCTTTTAGCCTCTCGACCTTTGCAACCCAGCCCGGACCTTGCTTCTGTCGGAGGAGTTGCTTTTCCATGAGATCCGGAATAAACCTACCAAGGTCAGTCTCTCCAGGCCATCCCGGCGGCCTTCCGTCTCTCTCTCTCTCTCTCAAGGGTTACAGTGAGGTTCCTGGTGAAGAAGAGACCCTGTGGTCCCTTCAGCTCCGCAGCCCTGTCGCTCCTGAGGGGCCCCCGGGACCCCTGCCAGGCAGAAGGGGAGCAGCACGACCCAGCTGTTCCTCTCCGGGGAGCTCCCCCTCCCTTCCGCTTGGCCACCTGCCCCTTTTGGTCCCCGGAAAAAGCTTTTGCTGCTGCTGCTGCCGCCTGGCTGGTGGTTTGCTCTGCCAGGGGCAAAAGGGGAGACGCCTGATCTTTTTTCATATTTATCGCGATTGCTCCTGCTGAGCTGGACAGTGATGAGAGAACAGCATGCGGCCGATTTTCCGTTGGGCTTCCTGGGGCAGGGGGGGTCCTCTTAGCCTAAGGAGGTGTGTTTATACCCACAAACCCCCACGAGGACCCAGTTTT